CTAACTACTAGTACTTACCTAACGTTACGTTAAGTAAACGTAACGGTACCGTAACTATACTATATATACTTACTACACACATATATATATATATATATATATATATATATATATATATATATAATATGATGTTCCCAGTCATTCTGTGCTTCTATAGATTAATGTGTTAATCACTGACAAACATTAAAATACACCCCTAACATCTTCATATTCAGAATTTACAAAACCGATAATTTTTATACAATACAACTGAGCTGGAATTTTTTTTTGCACATCTACATACAAGATATGAATTGAAACCCAATCTTGCTGACACTTACGTGTAATAAAAACAATATAACCATTATGCTTAAATATCACCCCTCTTTACATGCATTATAACGAACAAATTTACTAATTCCAATTAATTAATCAAACAACTTTGTGCTGTGCCAAGTTTATTATCAAACATGCACACAGTAGAAATCACACAGTGTATTTGTTGTATACAGTACCACTTCCTCACACCAAATTTTTCTTCAGAATACACACACACACACATATATATATATATATATATATATTTGTATGACTTGATGCACACACAATGAGAAAAGATTAGTATCTATACACCAGTGTAAGTGTTCATAATCAACATAACTTACACCCAACAAAGTTTTAACAATTTCCTTTACAGTTAAAAACATTATACATGTACCAGTGGAAATGTACTGTGATCAGCCAACTCTATGGTTTTAAACACCTTATTATATATAAACCATGATGATACAAAAGTGTTGCCATACGGAAACACAAACATGTTACCACTGACATATCTCTGGATTTTACAAATCTATTTTTTTTTTTCTATGTATGTGTCACTTTTAACTGTGTCAATTTTTTATGATTCACAACTGTAAATAAAGAAGCTACAGCTAAAACGTTTTTGTTTTCTTTGGTTAGACAGTAGTTGTGAACAAAAGCCAATTTTACAGGATACTCTCACAAATTAATTACTCTTGAAGCTGTGTGTGTTACTATTCATATAGGATAAACCTGAACTCTTCTCTCAAAACTGGTGACTTCACCTACTTTACAATACAGAGAGATGGTTGCTCCTTTTCCATAGTGTCTGTTTAAAATGAGCTGATTTACAGAACATAATATTTAACAACGTCAATTCATCTCACACTGGAAAAAGCAATGAATAACTGAATTAAAACCTCATTATGACTGTGAATTTTGTTTCATTTTACAACACACAAATAAAACTTTTCTAACATCAGCTACAGTTTAGTGCGTGCTTTTCATAAGCCATGAAAAAATTCCTGGATTTACAGAAGTCTTGTGAGGAAGGGTCACTGTGTACACAAATCATGGTTAATTATACTTTTTTTTCAAAAACAAAAACAAAACAAAGTAAAAGAAAGTAAACTAATTTAACATCTGTTTGAGTAGTTGTATTATTGGTGTTTGCTTCTGACAATCTGCATTTAACCTTCTTTCTAAAACACCATTAACAAATTTATTTTAACAGCAACCCCTATCTCTAAGAGTGTCTGAAATCAAATAAACTTTACAAAATAAACTTTCTATAACATACTCATTTAACAAGATCCTAAAAGTGATGAATCTGTAAAACAGATATATGATGTTCAAACAGAATAATAATAGGGTCTAACAATAAATACTTTTACAAATTATCTGCAAGAAAAAAATTCTGCCTGCAGATTCTTCATGTGATTTTATAATTATCTTATAGACATAAACTATAATAATGGCAAAACAACCAATTGTTTCTTAATACATAACCATATTTATAGTTTCGTAAAACTCCACATTAACATCCAACTTTGCATAAATATGGAAGTGAAAGTGAAGACATAATTAGCTGATGAGAAATACGGCTTTCTGTCTTTTTTTTTTTTGTTATATATTTAATACATGGAACACATACATCACAAACAGATACTATAATAAACAGCATACAACATGAGAATAATATTAACATTCTGTTCTTTTAGGTTAAGACACTCCCTTGGTGATCAAACACAAAAGTAAATAAACTGATGAAAACCATTCTTTGGAACTGTCAACTCTAAGGGTACAAATCTTCCATGAGTACAATGACAAAGACCTACACAACCCCAGAAATAGGTGGGGTCTTTTCTATGCTCCAGCTCAAGCTATATGTATCTGAGAAGAAAGTCAATAATACGTCTATTACATTCATATAGTATTATACACACCACAGTTCAAAAACATTTTTAAAACACAGGATAAAATGAAATCATTTTATGTTAGCAACATAACTTGGACTTCTTAAACACTTATTGAAATATGCTAAAAATAAGTTTTAAAAACTTCTATTTAATGAATGATGATCAAAAATTAAAGAATTAAGGAAGCCTTTACTAGATTTTTATTAATGTTTACAAGTTTTCACAACAGTCAACTCTCAGTGTTATCATGCAGGATGTCAATGATTATGAAAATTAAACATATACCTTAATGAATATAAAAAAATAATGCAGCATTCAAAAAATGTGTAAGCTTAACACAAACTTTTGATAAAAAAATCTTTAAAAAAAGTTCAAACCCCAAAATGGCATAATACAAAATATTTGTAATACCAAAAAAGCCAACAGAGTTACTGTAAAAAATATAAAAAAACAAATGACAGACTTTAATGTTCCTATACAGAACTTTAATAACCTAGCTTATATGTGTATGCATATATATATATATATATATATATATATATAACTTCATAACTAAACTCAGTTATTATATACATCTCTAGAAGCATTTCATTTCTTGTTATACTTCTCTTCAAACAAAGAACTAAGTCAGCATTATTCTACAGGTTTTTAAAACTAAGACCATATCCATACTTCAATCCATACTACACACTGCTACAACCATTGCAAATTAGTACTGTAACAGAGAACTTTAAAACCACAAAAAGGCCCACAAAATGTCTCCATGTAAACTATTTTAAGACCCAAAGATGTTCTTGTAGAAAAAAACGGGTATATGTACAGGTTTTGAAAGTTAAAGCTCAGTTTCACAAGTAATGTTCACCACTTCAAACATGACAAGAGATTTAAATGCAACTGTACATTTTTAAACTTGAATTTTTATTCCAATGTCATGTGTATGTAATTATACAGCAGACACAATATTATGACATATTTCTACCCTTAGTCAGGTTTTATCCTTCTACAAATCTTTAAACCCTAAATAAAGCCACTATTGAAGTTCCACTTGAGTGTATTCACATACAATAAACAAGTTTAGAACAAGATATTTTTTCTTATTAACACATATATGTGATGCTAAAACATGTATTTCTTCATGAAGCAAGGTATTATTTGAAAGATATAATAAAATGAATTTAATATATCTGTTTGTTAGTTGTATATTTCACTTATTGCAATAAAAAATAAACAACTGAAGGATACAATGTAGACTACTATCTAGTACAGGAATATGTATATATTTTTTAGGTTTAACAGTTTTGACTATATATTCAGTTAATTTCAAGAAATTTTACCTCAGTTTGTTGTTTTTGGAGGCAAAACAGGAAACTTTTATTTTGAAGTTAAGGCCTCAATCTGAATGATAAAAAAGGCCAAGAAAAACAATTCAACATACCATTCATAGTGCTCCAAACAGATCAATAGTATCAGATGATGGGGGCTTTGAGGAACTCTGCAAACTACCCACAGGCCGTTGGGGTTGAATTCCTCCAAACATCCCCACGGGCTGCTGTGGCTGAGTGACCCCCATTCCCATAGACATACTCATCCCAGTACCCATTCCCATACCAGGTGATACCATTGGAGGTCTCATTACTCCTCCTATCTGTAACAGACAGTAACAAACACAAATAACTATACACATATATAAAAATATCACAATCTTAAATAAAAATTAACAATGGCACATCCTCAGTAATTATGTTTGTTGTTGAATTTCAAGTAAAGTCATCTGTACTAGCCATCTCTAATTTTGAAGTGATAGAATAAAAGGAAAGTAGCTAGTCAAAATCAACCACCATCATATCTTGAGTTACTCTTTTAAGACCAAAACAGTAGGATTTGACCATAACTCTGATAATGCACCTACAGCTCCTAAGTGTAAAGATCAATTGTATTTATTTTTCTTTTAGTGATAATAGAATTCAAACCATAGACCTCTAGATCCAAAGTCCTACACATTAACCAACCAATAGGCCTTTCTCAGCCCTTTCAGTAAGTACAAATGACAATGAATAATTATAATATAAACTTGTTTTGTTTGTTATTTGAATTTCACACAAAGCTACATGAGGGCCATCTGCACTAGCCATCCCTAATTTACCAGTGTAGGGAAGGTATCTAGTCATCCCCACCCACCGCCAACTCTTGGGCTACTCTTTTACCAATGAACAGTGAGACTGGCCGTGACTTTATACCACCTCCACATCTGAAAGGGCGAGCATGTTTGGTTGGATGGGGAATCGAGCCCACGACCCTCAGATTGCGAGTCGAGCAACCTAATCACCTGGCCATGAATATAAACTGTTACTTGTTTTAAGCCTGGTCAGTGGTAACATGACACACACACACACAACCAATAAATCATTCCTTATTCTACACATTATAAATGTTATATAAGTTTTCACTTATGAGTCATTTCATCATTTTCTTCTTAAAGTTTTTTTTTATTATTCCTGAGATTTCCTGACTTAATTTATCTAAATGAACACTTCTGTAGCTATGATATATGGGAAATTCCAAAAATTATTTTAAAATGTATATCTACACTGATTTCCCCAAAAAATCACTTGTATCACTATAGAGTAGTGTGTTGTCTGTCAGTCAGTCAGTAGACACAAAAATAACATAGGGGATGCTTAACGTTGCAATTTGTACTATCATGATATCAGTAAAATGTGCACGTCAAGAATAATGAGAAGAATTATGCACCCTGTAGGCTAAAACACAGCATGACATATGAACTTCAATAACAAGAAATAAAAATATTTGTTGCTCTTAATTTTAGTTTTATTTACTCATGAAACAGAACACTTTCGAGGACACTGCCTCTAGTACAAAATTTTTATTATACACATTTTAAATCAACATAGATTTAGTTTGTTTTTCAGACCAAAACATAATTACATTAACTGAATTTTGTTTCATTTTTGTTCAGATGTGAAAAAATATATATAATGGTCAGTTCTAGGTATAAGGTAGATATCAAGTAGACAAACATCAGATAGAATAATTATTTCGCAAGAAAAAAAACAGTAAACATCATTCAATGGGAAAGTGTATTACAATCATTTCCAAAAAGTTTTTATTAATTTTTTTCTTTTTGTTGTTACTGTTGCTGTTGCATTGAGTATCGTCTCTCTAATCTAGACTTTACTACAGAGAGTTATGGACAAATTCTCATACACTTACCCCAAAGTTCTGCTGTGGAATGCCAGATTTAGGTTGCTGTGGGAAAGAGTTACCCATCATACCTGTTCCTCCACTTCCAAACTGCCCAGCACTACCCTATAATATCAATCTGTACTATTTACACTATTATTGTAAACCAGCACATACAGAATACAAATACAAATTGGTGTTTTTAGTATTCTCATCAGAAACTTACCAAGGAAAATGTTATAGTCAAATTTATTTTCAAGTTAAAAACTACATATGTATTACATTTTATGCTTTTGTGCAATTAGAAGGTTTTGCTAGTGCTTTTGGTTAACTATATTAAAAAATGCATACGTTTACACTCATACAATTTTTAACTTAAAAATTTGGATAATACACACCTTAGGGTACAGAAAAGCACTATCAAAATTAAGTGAAATGTATATTTTTTTTATAGTTGGCACATAAAGTATTAAAAGTTGTTTTAAGCACATTATTCATTTAGCTAAATCAAAACTGTTAAGTAAAATGTTATCATTTACATATGTTAAAAGCAGTGAAAATATTGAACAGACAGATAAACTGACAACCTGCCCACCTGATAGCATTTGTATTTGAAACCTATTTGGTACAAGTTTTCACTTAAGAAAAATAAAGTAACAATTATCCAAGTTTCACAAAAGAAGTGACATATGCCCAAAATTTGTTTCAAATCTATCTAAGCCAAACAGACTTAATTTTTGTAATAAATGTGAATCTTTGCACTAAGTTTTAAGTAACCCTGCCGACACATGTCTTCCTATGGTCACGGGTCAAAGGCCATGTCATCATGTTTGTGCACTCAAATTCAAAATTTAGTTGAACTATTTTTTTATGAATTTATGTCAATAAGTTTGGTATCAAATTGTAGAATATAATTCAAATTTTAGTAATATACATTAGTTAATTTCTTCATTTAAAAATAAATATTAAAAAAAAACTAAATATCAATTTTTGTGTGTCACATGGTATTTTGAATGCAGCATTGGTTCAAATTAGATGTTTGTGATATCCAAATACAAAAATCTATAGTTTGTTACGAATTAGATACTTAAATTACTGATAATGTTGTGAAGATACGCTTACTGTATTAAAAGTTATAACATGAAAACTATAACAAACACAAAATGGTTACAAGGTTGGTCCCTAGGACCAAGCCCATAGTGAGAGAGTTAAGCAAAACTTGGAAATGGAAAACCTAACAATTTATGACACCAAATTACATTCAAAATAAATATTAAAGATATAAAAATTGTTTAAAACATTCAAAATTAATGTTACAGAACATAAGATAATCTCAAACAAAGACACTAATGCTGTTTCCAAAAATCTTTCAACCCTTCCCTAAACTCACAAAAATAACTTACCATTGGTTGATAGCTGTGTTGAGGAGATCCCCAGCCTGTGTTGGCCGAGATCCCTGATGATGGACCAGCCCATCCACCACCACCACCAGTAACTGTACTAGCCACACTAGTTTTTGAGGATGGTTTTGGAGATCCCCATTGATGGCCTCCAAACCTACAAATTACAATAGCCAGTAGTCAGCTTTCAAACAGATAGATTAATCCTTTTTTACATGAGAAACATTATTAAGACAGGCATTTAAATGTTCTAAACAACAAAAACAAAAAAAAACTTTTTATTACTAATACTTAAAAACTGGGCTACATGATTTCAAAAAGATATTGTTCTTAAAACTTTCTATATTAAAAGACAATATAATCAAACTTAGGACACACACACACACAAAGCAAAAGATCGTGCAGAATTTTGTTTTTCTTCATCCAATATACTTCCATTAAAAAACTGCACAAATTTTTCAGTGTTCAAAGAGATGATTCAATACAACAAACCAAAATTACTTCAAGTTTAATTTTATTGATCATTAAGTTATCTTATCAAACCATAAAAATGTTGTTCAATGTAACTCAGTGAATAAGAAAATCTTTGTCCTTAAGCAGGACCTAACAGTTTTTTAACTCTATCAACTGATAAAGATAATTAACCAACTCACTTCTGTTGTTTACCAGGGCCACTAATATCCAGATTCTGGGCAAGACTAGCTAAACTAGAATCCAGATCTCCCTTTACAATTCCTTTAGAAGGTGGCTGTGTTCTTTTTGTGTCTGGAACTGTTGATTGTGGGATCTTAGCTCCACCAGCCACAGGCTGTGGCTGAAGTACATCTCCAAAAAGGTCAAAACCTTGATAAAATATACCAATTAAACATGATACATCACTATAATACCCTAAAATATTTTCAAAATACTCATCTGGTGTATTCAGAAGTCAATTTCATTTATTTTTTACCTTCCAGACCATAACCATTTCCCTTAAATAAAGAATGATAAAAAATCATACTTTACTAACAGTTTTTGAATTACATGAACATATTTTACAAGTTATTATTTAGTATTTTCTAACTAAAATGGAAATTTATAAAATTTATGCTTTTACATAAGAAATAATGCATCCTAAAATACAGAGAATGAACCAAATAGCTTTACCAACTTATATAAGCATATTATTTTTTTTTAGATAAAAAAAGTTATTATATATATACATTTAATGTTTTAGATTAAATTTAAAGAATTGTTACTATATAATAACCATTCAAAATGAGAACAAATTCCAAGAGAGAGAATTAAACAATTCCCAGGGAGAGAAAACAATACACATTACCAGAAAAACAAAGTATTAAAAAATAATGTTGAAATCTTCTATACAATTTTTTAAAAACATAATAATATATTAACTAACAATTTCAAGTGCCATCTATTTATTGCAGTATTTCTTTAAAAACATAATAATATACTAGTGCAATATCTTTAGCAATATCGTTTGTTAAACTTGCAAACAAATTATCTTAATGTATTTATGTCTGTTTTAAAACAGTTACATTCTTAACACAAAAGAATACACAATGTTATCCACATAAAACTTGCAAATTAATGTTTTTCTATATGCTCGACTAAAACCAAAAACGTAAATGGCGTACAAAAAACATGCAAAACAATTGGTGTTATCACACAAACATTAACAAAAGTGGTGCTAGCATAAAATAAGGATGCAAAAATGTAAAACACATGCAAACCTGGAATTCAAATTGTATGAACTACAGCCTTGACAAGAAACAGACAGCAACAACAAACCAAACACAAATTAAGAAAATAAACTTAACATAATTCAAACTTTGTCAAATCAATGTCACCTGATGCTACAGACCCTCCTCCTGTAACAGATTTAGCTGGAGAACTCAGTCCTGAGGGTGGGGTAGGTGAAGCATGAGCTCCAACTAATCCAGGAGAATCCAAACGCGGCATGGAAGAGCTGAGTGGGGATCCAATAACAGGACTGGCTCCTACTGGTGAAGCAGACTGGGCTGATGGTCTAGAACCTCCAAAGAAAGGAGATGACAGACCAGGAGTTGAAGATGGAGGAGCTGCAGAGGGTTTATTCATGACCTTTTGGATGGTAAAATTCAGATCATCAAGTGCTGAAGATTTTGATGACTCTTGAAACAGAGAGGAAGTAACTGGCACAGCATGAAGAGGTGGCTGGCTATGAAGATCCAAATTGGAAACTCCACCACCTGTACTAGAAGGTATATCCCAACTTCCAAATGGAGAAGGAGGTGGAGCTGTTGGTGCTGGAGTGGTAGTTGGTGTTGTATCCATGATGGGAGGAGGCTGTGAGGTTGTTTCTCCAAATCCAAAATCGGCATCATCCATGCTAAATAGGTCAGCTTTCTGCTCTGACCGATAAGGTACTTTTGTAGCTGCCATGGTAGCAGGAAGCGAGGAAGAGGGTTCAAAGGAAGATCCAAATGGATTTACATCTGGAGCTGGAGAAGGCCCACTAGGTTTAGTGCTGTCTCCCCAAACCATGTCTGCTGACATATCAGCTTCTGGTGCAGCACATTCTTCTAAATGGTCAACTTGTTCACCAAATGCTGGTTCAGGTGGATGAGATAAAATAGGAGTAGTACCTGCTCCTTTCATTAATTCTGCTGTTGGAGAAGGAGATGCTGATCTTCCATAAATATCTGCAACAGGCAACATTAGCCCACCACCCTTTGTACTGTGTTCAGGTGAGGCTATAGTTAAAGGATAGCACAGATGGGTATAATACTGGAAGTCTTAACAACAAAATTTTAATTAGTAAATATTAAAAAGCTGTGTTTGATATCTATAGAAACTGAACAAACTAAAATTGACACATATCATTTACAAATTTATCAATATCATGTATCAATATATTATTTATATTAACAGTATTACAAACAGGAAATCATTAGTATACTATTAGAATAAAACATTTTGTATTATTACAAAGCATGCATCACATGCAGAAAGGTATCTATGCACATTTAGAATAAAATGCTGCTGTAAATTCTGTGAGTTGATACTAGCAGTATCACAAGAATGAAATTATTAGACGAGAATCAGCATAAAAATCAGTGGTAATTTTCATCAGAGAGGATTACATGTCAGGTGGTTAATCATTCCTAACAGTGTTTTAATAGAATGATTCATTTTCTACTTCAGGTACGTGAGTATTTACCTAGAATCAATTATTCATCACACAGTCGTTGTTAAAATAATGTAAAATATAAACTTTCATCAGCAATAAGTACCTGAAAACAAACTCTAGGAAAATAAATGCTATAAAACTCATAATGACATTAGTATAAAAAATGCTTGACTTCTTGCTTTCTGACTAGGTTGCAAGTAAAACCAAAAATGTTTTCCATAATTCAATAACAACCAAAACAGTCTTAGATACATATTTATTTTAAACTTGTCCCAGAGGTTTAACCCTTAATATCTTTCTTCTAGAAATGAAACTTCATTCAGTAAATTACATTTTCATAGTATTTTCTAAAATTCTTAGATGTTATAATATTCTGATATCAATAATATTACAAAAAATTGTATTGAACCTAGAACCACATGTATTAAGTACTATTTGAGTGGTTCATGTTCATTGAGTAAACCTAAGTAAAATTCTAGTGTTATCAATGACAAAAGATCTCTTCTGCAAGTCCTAACTGCTTCAAAAACTGTTGCAGTTGGTTGATTACAAGATGCTCTTAAACCAGTTACTGAGCTGGCATAATTATATCTTAACTAAGATATAATAATCCCTTGGGAAAGATACTACATCAAGTAAATTGCTTCTATGTTCTTCTCATGTGTAAATCCTGATAGTACATTTTTTTTTTTATTTGCATAAGAAATAGTCACAATTAAACAATGGTTAAGTGTGGGTGGTACATGTCAAAAAAATAAAAATATTCAAAGAACAAATTAATGATTTAATTGTAATATATAAATGAAAACAAGGACATATATACATACAAAAGACTATTACACTTGCTAATAAAAAATATTAGAAACTAGCCATGACTCACAAAACATTTTTGGTACTTCTCATGCTCTTCGCTTGAATTTTTCTTATTCTATCATTTTCACATATGGCATTTAAGCTACACTTTCTTGAAGGCATTATGTGTTAGAACAATAAATCCTGGTGTATTTGAAAAAATTTTGCACAGTCACACAAACAAACTCATGTGGACATAACTTTATTTAATAAAACTATATGTAATGTAAACAATAGGGTACAGTAATGGCAATTACAATAGTGCAAAGAGTGTGAAGAAGTTATGAACATTCAGTTTACGACAGTTTTATGAGATGAAACAAAGAAACTCCTAAAAACAAAAAATAAAATCCATACTAAAGAAAAAGGTAGCTAAAAGATGTTGATAGCAGTCTATGAAATGAACCATAGCTAAATTATTGCAAAGTAAATTAAATATAAAGTTGTAATGAAGGCAAGCTACCCAAATATGCAGAAACAACTGAATGTGTGTTCACAAAGTGATAACCATATACATATTTTAGGCCTAAATAAGTTGAGAAAGCCCATAGCAATTGCATTTAGTGTAATGTTAATTTTTTATAGGAAATTACATGCAGTACGTGATGGTTAAGTGTTAGTTGTGTGAAATACTATGCAAATAAAACTAATGTTGAAATCAAAGCCAGTCATTACGTGGTTACAATGACATTGTGTCACTATGTACCATGCTTGTTGCATTGAAAAGTTTGACTAAGCAAAACAAAAGTAAGGTGATTCTGAATGGTAAAGCCAATATGCAATCCAGACTCCTTGGACAAAGGCCTTTCTAATGATGAGATTTGTAGGATTTGATCAAGAAATTTGTGAGAAACGTTCCATACAGACAAACACAAGCGTATTATTTATACAAATGCTTAAATGAATTTTCAGCACTTTAAGAATAATTTACAATGAACTGTAATGACTCTTACCATAATCCTATAAGATAAATTGATGACATTAAAGATCTTGTATCAAGATCAATATCACTTATTATGATATATAATGCATGTTTGTCAAGAGGGCAAAAACAATCCTCAAGTTTTTCAAGTTCAACTTTTGGAATTACATAGCTTTTTTACACTCCACTTGAGTATAAGAAAATTATTTAACAACTTTACACAAGATATTTCAAAATGTTACGCAGAAGTGTAAATAACCAACCTTTACGCATTTCAACTTTTCAGCTAAAAGTCGTTTCCCTTAAAATAATGTGAGCTGTGTGAGTGCATCATTGTATCTGTAGGCAGATTTTGTTAAACAAGACTGATGTCTGTTGGTTTACTTTCTTCTTAGAATTCTTCTCAAGAAGTCGATAAGCCGTCTTAACGTTGTTAGAACAATGGGTAAAAGTTGT